GGGTCCCGCCCTGCTCCGCGGGAGCTGCGTGTCCCGAGCAGGCCGGGCTGTGTGGGATGCACGGCCCGGCCCCGGCTCCACGCGCAGCCGCAGGTTCCCTCTGCCGTTGCCTCTGTTTTGGAACCACACGGTGCTTTGGGAGTGAAAGGCTGGGGTTGTGGTAGTGCTGAGCTCCTCCATGCCTGTTTTGTTCTGTCCTGGTTGCTTCAGGATGCTCTGTCCCCTTGTCCCCATGGCACCCAGCAGGGCACTGCCGTGTGGCCGCCTTGGAAGCGGGTGAGCTGAGGCCGGGCACACTTTGCATGGACGAGTCTCTCCTGGAGTCAAGACTTTGGGCCAGTCCCACAACATTCACCTGTTCTTTCCTTTTGTACTTAAAGAGTACCTCCAACCATGTCACTTCTTTCTCTGCAGACATTTTTAATTACGAGAAGTCAGAATAGGCTGATCGCAGCTTCTGGCATGGCAGACCAGAAGCGCCTTGCCTTCTCCATCATCCAGTTTCTGCACGACCAGCTACAAAATGGGGGTCTTTCTCCAGATGCTCAGGAGAGCTTGGAAGGTAAGTGGTTACGTACAGGCCCCTGTTATGGTTACATACAGTCCCTGCTGTGCTTCTAGGTCTGTCAGCCTGACACTTGTGGCAGTGGGGACACTCAGCCACTGTCATCTGCCTCTTCCTGGCTGGATTGTGGTTAGCATCAAAGCTTGCACAAGAATGAAATAAATCTTGTCCCATAGGAAGATTTCCAGACAGTTGGGAGCCTTGTTATTTATCTGTCTTCTTGTTATCTGTTTCAAGAGTAGATTATCTTGAGGAAGGGATCTACCTTGGGATCAAAAACCAGGATCAAAACCTTGATCCTGTGTCTGAGATTTGCCAGATTTTACCTTGAATGAGGTGACGTTAAGAGGTACATGGAAGCGTTTTATACTTGCAGAGTGCCTTTCTGTTCTGCTATCAAAATACTTCTCCACAGCGCTCACTGGGGTGCTTATCTAGGCCTTTTCAGAGGGCTTTACTAGAAATGAGAGCACGCTGATCTTAAAAGATCTACGTAAGGAGCTTATACCTTAGTCTTTGACCTGTGCATTTGTCGCACGGACGGAGCACAGACGGAAAGGAGCGCAGGCGGTGGCAGGTGGCTGTGGCCAGAGCCCTACTCGGCTTGTCCTTGTCCTGGCCCTTAACAGAGCAGCCACCTTGCAAGTGGGCTTGCCAAGTCACTCGCTTCCACTCTGCTTGTTTAAAATGCAGATCTCATCACTGTGTGCTATCCACAGCTGCAGGGATGCTATCAAAGCCCCGGTTCTTGCTTGCTGCCAGTTCTATTAACGTCCAGCCCCCAACAGCTGCCCTGCAATCATCCATGGGGGTGGGAGTCGTGACTGCCTTGTTCCAGAGCCCATGTTTGCACAGCTCTGAATTTTTGGCAACAGATTTAGTGTGCTGCTTCAGCTGGATGCTGACCAGCACTCCTCTACAGCAGGAACCAGAGGGGCTGTGAAGTCACTGAGCCTCTCTAATCAGGAGACTTCACTTGCTTTCTGGTGTTCAACTTGATGTAAAGAGGTGCTACAGCTCAGGAGCAGGAGACCCACACTCAGTTTTCAGCCCTGCTGCACCTTCTGTCCCTGATCTTGAGGCAGTTGCTGGGAGAGCATCTTAACAAGCGAGCTAAAACAAGCTGCGGTCGTTATAAGATCTTACCCTCGTTTAGCTGTGCTAGTGACAACCTGCAGACCCACACACTCAAAACATGAAGAAGAGAGAATTGAGAATATGCCACAGATATCAAGTGTGCGAGGGGGATGTGTTCTTGGTTATTTGGGTATTTTGCTGGTATGAGTGTTGTGGAGGAGGAGAGGGCTAAGTATTTAGATGTATTTAGAAAGATAATTACTTGACTCTTGTTTCAGTTGCCATCCAGTGTCTGGAGACAGCTTTTGGGGTCTCCATGGAAGACCGAGATCTAGCTGTGTCTCAGACCCTTCCTGAAATCTTTGAAGCTGCTGCAGGAAAGGTGAGTGAGTGCCTTAAAAGGTGTTGACTTCCAGGTCAAATAGCCAAAAGGATCAGCTTGGCTTGGTTTCTGTGGTGGTGCTGCCTCCCGTGGAGGGGGTGAACTGTTTGGGGCTTGAGAAGCCAGTGCTTGGGAAGGGAAGCGGTGCGCTGTTCTCTGTGGGAGCCCTTATCAGAGCACAGCATTCTCCCTTTCCTTGTAAGGAGCCTGAACACATCCGAGCAAATTCAGAGCCCGTCACCCCCTCAGAAGATGACATAGCTGAAGCTGAAAGACTCAAGACTGAAGGTAACCTCCTCTAGAGCTGATGTATAGAAGAGATTTAAATGATTATGGGGAGGAAAGCTTAATTCACGTGACACCTGGGGAATGCATGGAACAAGAATAAACCAAAGGGGATCAGCCCCTCCGTTTCTGCTTGTTTCTCTGCTTGTGCTCAAGGAGGGTGTGTAGGTTGGCATAATGTAACTGCCACAGAGCCTGGATAGACAGCAGGGCCAGCGTTTCCTTTGGCATCCTAAAAAAAGGACCTTGTATAGAACAGAGCATGTTTGCTGCTCAGCTCTCCCCTGTGTGCGTTGGCTTTTCTCTGCCAGGCGAGAGAATAAGATTAACATTGACGTACAACAGAGAGCTTTTTTGAGCCAACACACAGCAGACTTGCAGATCAAAACGTTGCTGTGGGGAGATCTTAGGTGCAGCCTCAATGGGAGGGCAGCTGAGGGTGCTGAAGAGCTTGCACGGTCCCTTCTAACAGGGCTGCAGGTAACCTGGAGCTGCTGAGACACAGACCCCTCCATCCTTCTTGAATGAGCCTCACAGCTGTAAGCATCTTGATGGACTAGCAAAAAGTGGAAGCCTTTGGTTTGTCTTTTGTTCTGTTTTCTGAAGTACAGCAAAGATCCAGGCCCGTTGCTTTTCTTTGTCCCCAGTATAACTTGTCACTGAGTCTTTGTTCCGTTTCCTTAGGAAATGAACAAATGAAGGCAGAAAACTTTGAAGCTGCTGTATCTTTCTATGGAAAAGCAATTGAATTAAATCCATCCAATGCAGTGTATTTTTGCAACAGGTACTTAGTATGTCTTTCTCCATCATTCTTTTCTTTCTTCTTGGATCTTAAGACTCCTGCATGGTGAAATACCTTTTTTAATTATTTTTTCTTTCTTTTTTTTTCTTTTTTTTTTTTTTAAGAATTTCTCAGAGTGCTTGTTCTGTTGCTTGCTCTGTCCCCTGCCAAGCTCACGGTGACACTTTCCTGTGTGTCCTGCCAGCTCTGTGCCCTGACTTCCCCAGATAGGATGTGGGTGTGGGAACAAACATTTCTTAGGCATTTCAGGGGATGTGAGGATGCCAAGTAATGCTGCCTACTTTCTTATGAACAACTCTAAGTGAGATAAAGAGCCCAGATCTGAAGAGGCAAAACCAAAAAACAACAGGGCAAAATGAGGTAGACTGAAGGCTTTTTATTGAGAATTATGTATGTTGATGTGTAGGCAAAGTGCAAGTAAATTATCTATTTTTCTGTGGCGTTCTAAGCAAAAGAGTGTAAAAGTTGGTGGAAAGATGATTGTTGACTAAAACAGAATTTGAATCAGGCTTTGTTTTAATTATCTACTTATCATGAGTGCATATGTACAGCTGGCTTTGGGAATAACTTGTCTGCACACATTTTAGTGACATAGTGAGTTATTTCTTGGGGTGAGGGATTGTGAAGAAGGCTTCCAGCTGACCCTGTAGCTGAGCCTTACTTGAGCTGCATGAAATCTAGTCAGAGGAGCTGGGCAGGAGTCATGGTGCAGTAAGAGAGGCAAAACTGAGGATTGAATGAGCATGTTACGGTCTCAAACACACAGTTTTCTCCCTTATGTAGGGTGTGTAGGGGAATGGCCAAAACAGTCATTATGAATAAGAAACCAAGGGAATTGCAGAGCTGATGTAACACTTGTGTGCCCTCCCTGGAGCCCAGGGGGGACGTGGAGAAGTAAAATCCTTTGATACATGATATCCTTGATGCAGAATGCAGAGCTGGATATTTGCATAGTAACCTGCTCACCTAAATACTGGATTTATGTCAAGTTAACACTTGACTTTGCCTCGTACAATAGGAGAGGAAACAGAGGTGACCTTGTATAGCATATTCATGGCAATGATTTTAATGCTCATCTTTCTCCATTCCCTCCAGAGCTGCTGCATACAGTAAATTAGGAAATTATGCTGGAGCAGTCAGAGACTGTGAAAGAGCTATAGGCATTGATCCAAACTACAGCAAAGCCTACGGCAGAATGGGGTAAGTAAGAGAGCAGCTTTTTCTTGCCAGGATTTTGATCTCAGAATGCCTTGTGGTAGTGACACTACATGGTGTTTTGTCCTGGAATGCCATGCAAAAATACCTAGTATTTCAACTGATGGGATGGAGGAAGACTGCAAGTGCTTATCTAACTTCTTATTTTATTTCCACTTTAATAGCTTAGCTCTCTCCAGTTTAAATAAACACACAGAAGCTGTTGTCTACTATAAAAAAGCCCTGGAGCTGGATCCAGACAACGAAACGTACAAGTCAAACCTCAAAATAGCTGAACAGAAAATGAAAGAGACCCCCAGTCCAGTAAGTTCTGAAACCAATGTTTATTTTATGTGGGTAAGAGCAGAAGGAGATTTCCTCACTATGCTGCTGTGTTAAAGGCTCTGACAGGCTTGCTGACTTGGGTCGTATTTAGAGTAGCAATGTAGCGTGCCGAGAGAGGGGGGATAGTTGGATTTATTGGAATAGTGTCATGAACACTCCCGATAAATCCCGAGCGTGCAGTGTCTCTGCACTGCTTGGGCACAGTCACCTTGGGCTCACTTGAAAGAGCTGCAAAATGAGACTGATGAGGAGTGTTTTGAAAGTGTTTTATTGCCTTAAGCACCCATCCTAACTAAAGTCACTCCTAAAATGCAGCTGTTTTTACTAGTGACCATGATCTGGTAGCAATATCCAAAGGGTATTTGACAGATTTTAAAAAGTCACTTTCTTTTGAGCAAAGAATACGGAGTTTTTAAGCCACAAAGCCAGTGACTGTGCACTGCTGACATGCTGCACTCGGGCACATGGCAGGTTAGTGTTTTGAAGGTGACTCAGCCCTCTTAAAGACCTTTCCAACCACAAAGGTGGCCCAGAGAATGTGTTTAATTTGGCATTTGTGATGGGCTGGAGTTGTGCCTGGCTAACACGGCTCAGCTGGTGCAGCACGTGCAGCAAATGGTGCAGCACAATCGCTGCCATCTCTGGTGTGGCACCTTTGATTCTTTTAGGGAACCTTTTTGCCTGTGAAAATGGGGACTGTGCCCATACAGGATGGGTATGAACAGAACCTTGAACTTTGTCGTGATTTAAAGACCAGATCCTGATAGAAATCGAAGTGAAGGATTAAAATAATGTTAACTGTAACATGCTATTTGTTGCATCAGAAAGTGAGAGCATTTCATCAGCTGCGTGTGGTGTCTTTATACTTACAGACCGGAGGCCCAGGAGGATTCGATTTAGCTGGTTTGCTGAACAACCCTGGCTTCATGAGTATGGTAAATTGGGACGCAGATCACAGCCAGGCTGCATCTGGTCTGTGCATTTGTCTGTTGAGGATGAAGTGTATTGATATGTGCCTTGGAAAATTCCTCTATTTTCCTAGCAGCTTTGTTTTCATTTCATTTCTTGATTTCACTGTTGCTGTGAGGAAACTGTGCTTCTATCTCATTAAAGTCAAAGGGTCAGTGAATTATTCACAGGCTTTTCCTAGTAATATGCTGGACATGAAAGGGGGCCTGTTCTGCATTACCAGCCTTGTCTTGTGTGTTGTACTGTGCTTCTCTTAGCTATTTTTGTCCTATTGATCTGCTTCCAAGTCTTTCTGCCTTCACTTTGTTCGTGGTTGAATGGCACAACATCTGCATATCTACCCAGGCATTTCTGACTAAATAGGGTGTCATTTTTTTCCCTTTTTAAATAGGCATCTAACCTAATGAACAATCCACAAGTACAACAGCTGTAAGTTTGATCCCATCTCGTATTTGCTCTGTGTTTGGCTTTTGTGGTAGGGCTGGATCTCTGTGTTGGTGGGAGAGGGGAGGGTGCCGGGCCCAGAAATGCAGAGGGCAGCCTTTAAAGCAACCCAGTCTTTCGAGCTCGTGTGTACTGCAGTCTGCATTGAAGGATAGTCTTGGAATTGCCTACAGAAGGGAGGTAGGACATTTGGATGTATCCCCGTTCTAAACAAGGCAGGGATGTGAAACCCTTTGGGGCTTGTGCCTCTCCTGGCCGTTCTATCAGAGCACAGGTAGAATACAGTGAATTGGAGGCTTCCTGGAGCTCATACTTTGATTTGTATTTTGAGACAACTTGGTTAAAGGGCTAAATGTCTGCCATCATCTCCATTTGCTTCTGCCTGCTCCTTCCATTGCTGTTACCATTTGAGGTTCTGCCTTAGTTGCAAGCTGAGAACTTAGAGGAAAGGGCTTTGCAGGGCTGTGCTGTTCATCACGAGTGAATCGGTGTTTAGACTGTCCTGTCAGTAGATCTCGTGCACAAAAGGGGGAATCTCTGGAAGTGCAATAACTGCCACTGTTACAAATATTTCTACATACCGTTCAGTTTAATGATGCAATTAGAATCTGCTGACATCCATGAAAAAGAAGCTGTTGTTGCAGAGGAATCCCTCACTAGGATAACTTCACAGTCCGTGTGGGAAGGGGCTCCCATTATGCTAATGCTCCCCTCCCCACATAAAACAAACAGGAATCTCTGTGTATTTCCTGCTCTGAGCAATCACTTATTCCCACAGCATGTCTGGGATGATTTCTGGTGGCCATAATCCCATGGGAGCAACAGGCACCAGCCCTTCCACAAACGATCTCGCCAGCCTCATACAAGCGTGAGTAGAGAGTTCTTGTTGCCTTCAACTGTAAAGAGATTTCAGTTTTTCTGACCAAATCTTAACGTAACAACTGAGGAAGACTTAAAGGTTGAGTAAAATCCTGCCATTTTCAATAATGTGGCTGAACTGTTTGTTAAAAGTAGAGTTTTTTGAGCATCAGCCCTAAAGAATCCTTTAGCATTCAGGCCACGTTAGAGAGCGTGTGTGTCTGTGTGTGAGAGAACATTAACACAACTGTTGCTTGTTTTCCTGCAGGGGCCAACAGTTCGCTCAGCAGATGCAGCAGCAGAACCCTGAATTAATAGAGCAGCTACGAAGTCAGATTAGGAGTCGGACTCCAAGTGCCAGTAACGAAGTTTTTTGGAATGAGCAGTCCAGGTGAGGCCCTAGCAGGAGCACCGTTGTGCTGTGGCCAGCGGCTTTCTGTGTGTAGCTGCAATATGTGACTCATGCCTTAATTTAGCAATTCCATGTGCCTGCCTTCCCCTGCCTGCCTTGGGTGCTCTGCCTCAGTGCTGCTAGTTCTGTACCTCAGAGACACATGGCTCAGCCCCAAAAAGAGATGAATAACCACCACCCTCGCATCCATGCACCCCCTGAGTGCCTGGCAAATGGATTTCCTTACCAGGCATTCAAACAGGTTGGGAGGACACTTCATTTTCCTAAATACTGAATTTGCAAATGTCTTGTCTTCCTGTCTCTGCAGCACAGTCCGTGGAAACTGTTATTTGCTTTAAAAACTGGAAGCCATGTGCGTGTTGCCATTTCTTGAGTTGGAAGTGTCCAAGAGAGGGGAAAAAAAATGGATAAATGAAACACTTTATATGACCTGCATGTCAACAAGAAATTCACGCTTTCTTTCCCTGGTCTTCGTCCCTGCTCCTCCCCCTCGGCCTTTCCATTCATTTTTTTTCTTCTGGGAAGATCCAGCAAGCTGAACATGAACCAGCATCAACAGTCTTTCTAAAGAAACTCAGAAAATTAACTGTATTGTTACATTTCTATGTTATTTGCTACATGGGAATTTTTTTACCCATTTTTCAGGAATAATGTACTCTTCACTACGGGGATGTCTTCACTTTTACTGCCCACGTGCCACTTCAAAGAAGTGTTAAGTCCTGCCCCATCCCACCCCATTCAATCTTCTTGCCACAGTTGTGCGAGGGCAGCGTCCAGGGATCCCTGGATCTTCCTGCCTCCCGGAACAGGGTTTCTCTTGGTTAGAGCCACCACGTTTCTCATTTGGATCTGTAGCAACGTTGCCAATGCTGTTAATCCCCAGGAGCTTGGTGATCGTCGCAGAGGTTCTTGTAAATGTATTAGGGGAGGGAGCTGGGACCGATCAGATAGAACATGCTCATTTGTGACTGCTCCTTTAGAGTGAGTGCGTGCAGATACACTTCTTGGGGTTCTTCCCCAGGACTGACAAAACTTGTCTAGTGTTTAGTAATCATGGCTATGTTGTTGGAATGATCCAATCTGTGAACTAGTCAGAGGTGGACAGTAAGAAAGATATGATGTTTTTGATGTTTAAAAAGGTTTTCTTTTGCTTTTTAATTTGTCTTTTATGCATGTGAGTAATCAACCTGGCTGACTGTGCTAATGATGGGTTGGAGGATCCCTGTTTTACAGAGGGTCTGACGGCTGGAGAGAGCAGATGGAGCAAAAACGCTGCTTGGGGTGGATAAGGTATTGAGTGGCTGCTGGCTCAATGTGGGGGACTGACAAGGAATGATTAGGCCTCAGTGTGTAGGATGAGGAAAGATGCTCTTGTAGCTCTCGAGTTACCTGCAGCCTTCCAGGCCCTCTGAAATTACCCATGTTGTTCCCTGGGTGACTGGGAAGCTCTAGCGAGTTCCCCTAGAATTCACTAGTGTTGAAGCCAGAGAGCTTTTTATTCATGTCAGAATCGTTTTATAAAGTAGTCATTCAGATTGGGTTGGGAAAGGCATGTTTGAGATCTTATTGCCAGGCAGATAAGCATCTAGTTTGGAGTTAGATGGACACGAGATGGAAACTGCCCTTTCGGGAAGCCCTGTGGTGTGAGTGAGCAGGTATATTTGAAGATTAATATCAAGAAAAAAAAAAGATTTGTAAGTGCTCCATAAAGTACTCTGTGGTTAATGTAACTTGTGAAGAATAAAATATTTGGACACTTGGTTTGTTATCCCTTTTGCCCAGCTGACTGAAGATCCACAAACCCAGGGCTGGGCCCCGTCCTGCTCTGCCTTCCCGGTGCGACGGCAGCTGCTGGGCACAACCCACATCATTGACCCTATTACTGCCTCTGGTTTTCCGTTTTCCCTGCCAAAATGCTTCTCTTTCATAAGAGATGCCTTTGTTTTCTACATCTGCCTCTCCTGTTCTCCTTGTGTTTAAGTTCTCTCCATCTGGCTTTGGTAACCCAGCAAGAAGAGACACTTCAGGTGGCCTGTCTTGCGGCCAAGGTCTGTGAGACAGCGTGGGAGCAAAAACATTCAAGAATTACCCAAAAGAAGGAAACTGCGGAAGGAGATTTCTGCTTTTTCAGGACTCTTTGCCCTCTGCTTTCCTTGCTCCCTGCTATCCCTAGCTCTCTTTCCTCAGGTGTGCTGAGGGCGCTCCGCACACAGCCCCGTGTGGGGAAATGTTCCGGAATTCCCAACGCTGCAGGGCCGGGCTCCACGGAGAGGATCATCCGGCCAAGCGTGGCGCAGGTTTGGGGTCGCTGTGCTGCTCGGGGTAAGATGGACTCACAGCAGAGCGGATGGTCTATTTGCAGCACAGCCAGTTACCTTCTAGATTCTTAGATTTCATTTCTAATTTTTAACTCTCTAGACCGCGAAAAAGATGTTTTCTAGAGTCATTTCCACTGCGTGGGGCCTTCAGCAGCGTAGCCAGTTGCGCTGTACCTGCCGTGCTGTATTCAAAATGAATGATTTTGCCTTTTTAACGAAGAAAAGCTGAAAAACTGCTGAGCTGCGGCCGCTCGACCTGACCCCCGGGGCTCCCTGCGGCCGCTCGGGCTGCTCCGGTGCTCGGGTCACGGCGGAACGGGTGACCCCCAGGCCTGGCCTCGCCGCTGCCCTCGCCCCGGGTCCCCCCTCCTCCGT